GCCGCTGGTGGATGTGGCGCCGTCCTGGATGGCGGTGCTGAGGCGGTGCCCGTCCCGCCGGAGATCAACCTCCTCGACGACACGCCTGTGGGGCCGCCCTCCGACCCGGGCCCTGGGCCGGCGTACGCCAGGATTTTCTGGGAGGAGCAGAACGCCACGGCGGTGGCGGAGCAGGCGGCACTTCGGCCGGTGCCCGACGACGACTCCGATCCGCCGGCCACGGCGCTCGAGGCGTACCTCCAGGACCAGGACGACGCCGCCCGGGCGTCGAGTGGGCCGTCGCCTTCTGGACAGCAGCCGTCGTCCTCTACATCGCCTGGCGGGAAGACTCCCTTCAGGCGAAGGTGAGCAAGGCGCCGCCGATGCCTTACCCCGACCGGCCCATCGCGTTCCTCGCCGAGCAGCCGAAGAAGCCACCGGTCAAGCGGGCGCCGGTGCAGCCCCAGCAGTCGCCACCGCCCGCCAAGGCGGCCATTGCGGCGGCTCCGGCACCTTCGTCGGCCGCGTCGTCTTCGTCTGAGCCAGTGGTCGCCAAGGCCACGGCCGAGCCCTCGCCGACGCCGGCGCCAGAAGACACGGCGCCTGCGCCGGCACCCGGCCCTTGAGGCTGGCCGGGGGCCCTCGGAGGAGTACTTGCGCCGCCAGGCGTTTATTCGCCAGGAGCAGACGGCCCGCAGCCTGGCCGGGATGCGGCTGCTACACGACGGGGCCACCTACGCCCAGGCCCTCCAGAGCCGGATCGAGAGGGAGATGGAGGAGCAGCGCCGGGCCGATGACGCGGCGGCCTTGGCGAAGGCCAAGCCAAAGGGGCCGCCCGCCCACCTGGTGGGCACCGAGACCAGGCCACCCTCTGGCGGCTTGGCGGCTGGATCCCAGGCGGCGCCGGAGGTCACCCCAACGCCAGCCGCTCAACGTCGGCCGGCCCTGACACGGGGCGCGCCTGAGGTCACCACCCCGGCGCCTGGTTCCGGGACTTTGCCGGCATCGTCGCCTACGCGCCCGAGTTCCCGGCCAGCGTCGTCTTCGGCATCCGCTCTGCCGGCGGCCTCTTCGACTTCTACCCCGGGTACTTGGAAGGGCGTGGGGTTTAG